TATATATTTAAAAAAATGATATTTAAAGGAAGAAAAAATCTACAAAAAATTTATTTGCATAATATATAATTATATGAATAATAAGTTTATATATATATACATATATATATGTTTGCATAAAATTTAACAACACGCGATTTTTTCTTTATATTTTAAACCTTAGGCATTAAAAATTTTTTTAAAAATAAGAATTAAGTTTCGCGTGATTTATAGTATATTTTTAGACATAAAAAAAAAAGAAGAAAAATCCACGATCATTCAACTGATTAACAATCGAAGATGATCAGAGCCATAAAGGTAATTGATGGGTAATGATAGGTAATTGATAAGGAAGATATGAAAATCCCAAGAATGGTTTCGTTATAGGAAACCGCTTTCTTGTAATAATCTTGCAATTTTTTCATCCTCTCGTTCCCTGTAATGAAAAAATCAAAATATGTTGATTTTTTTCCATAAGTCAAATCTATGTTTAGTATATTGTCATAAAGATATTTTCAAAAATGTATAATTTAACAAGTTCAACTAAAAACAAGTCCATGAAAAATTATACAGATTCTAATTTTATTGTGGAGGTGTATATATATATATGTATACTATGTGTTTCTACAATACATTAATAAAAATGAAAGATTACCTTGGCTCCATATCCAAACTTGTACTATATAAATCGCTAACATCTCTACTATCTTGCAAATGACTCTGAATGAAAATTTGAATTTCTTGTACAGGTGTAAGATTATATGGTACAGATTGATACTGCTGAATTTCACGTATCACATCAGCAGTTTTCATTCGTTTTGAAAAATTAATTAATTGTTGATTTTTTTTAAGAATATCTGGATTACCGTCTTCGATAAAAGTAAGATCAGTTAAATAAACACCTGAAACAAATAATTATTATCGTGTTAATATGTTACGAATATTGTATTAACATCGTATTAATATCGTATGTCAAATTTCAAATTTTTTTCAAAACATTTTGTATTAGCCTTACCCAGAAATGGTACGCAAGGTGGATTTACGCTATGTAACATTTCTCTATAATCAAAGAAATTCTTTGTAGAGTTCATGATTCTATTAAGGTTATCGAGCGTTTGTATCGTTCGTGCGTTTACCATCTCCCATGTTCGCTTAAGACGATGAATTGGTGCGGAATTAAGACCGGAAATGATTGCCGTTAAAGAATTAAAATTATTTAATTGTCTACATTTATCAGCTACTGCAACAAAATGTTTAATTAAAGCGCATCGCTTTTTGATTTCTTTTTGATTAAGAATGGACTCAGCTACCCATCCAGTAATCTAATGTAAACAATATCAAAAATTAAACATTAATTAATTATAAATATTAATTATTAACCAATTCTTTTAATAAATTAATTAAAGTGCCAAAGTAATAAAAATTAAGTGAATTATTTAAAATTTTATTTACCTGATTACTGTTTACAATCATGGCTTTAATATTTACGGCTATTTCTTCGCCATCACCACCATCTTCACCATCTTTAGTTTCTTTGCTCCATGCCTTGTTCAAACATTCAACTGGTCTAATTTTATTGTAAAGCTTAGCTTCTATTATAGTTAATTGTCTTGCAATTTCTAATGGATCCAAATCCAAAAATTTAATTTTTTTCAGATTTTTTGGTTTGATTGAAGGTGGAGGTAACATTGTGTTATTAGGAATCATCTCTTTAAAGACAGCATCTTTTCGTTGTTGTAACTATATATACAGTAAAACGATATATATATATATATAATCAATTTATTATTGTAAAAGAGGTTATAACATAAATTACAGAAAAAAAAAAAATAAATACCCTTTTATCAATGACTTTGATCAAACTCACTGCCGCAAAAGCCATGTGCTCATGCATTGTAGTTTGTGCGAATTCACGTATACGTTCCAAACAATAAGAATCTTTATCATCAATATAATAATTCTCCAACCAACTCTTCATAATATTAAAAACTCTTAATCTCACAGGTGTTTGTTTCTTCTCTTGCCAAATTTCTAATTGTTCAGGTGTTAAATTATCAGGAGGCTGAATCATGAAACGTTTTGTCAACATATCAAAGAATTGTTCAGTAGTACAGAATGAACGATATGTCAACAAGAAAGTCGCTATAAAACTTGAATCAAGTAAATCGTGCATCGTTAATCTTTCTACCAAAGCATTTAGAGTACCACCCTTAACATGCTTTTCCATATTGAAAATTATTTCAGCTTCGTCGTAATCATATTTAAGGAACCAAGGTTTATCTTCACGCTGTACACGCGTTTGATTTATAGACTGAACATCTTCACCAAAGAATTTTGCGACTTTACTACTCTCACTACGTGGTGATCTAGTACCACCTGGATTATTAGATAATGGAGGAGATGATGTTCTTTGATAATCAGTCTGGACGATAGGTTGAGAATTTGTACGTTGAGATGAACCATAAGATTGAATTGATGATGAATCTTCACGAAATTGACTACTTGAACCGCTCATAAATGAACGACCACCAGTCATAGAAGAACCATCAGAAATTGGGGATGTTGGCACTCTATCAGAGTCATCTATCGTATTGACCGTATTTGAATCAGGTATGACAGTGGGTGAGTCAGTAGTCATAACATCATCTTCAGGTACAGTTTGTAAACCGGTTTGAATCGTTGCTGGAGGACTAATAGGCTTGACATTTTGATTATCAATAATTTCTGCATCTTCAATGACATCATTCGCGTCATTTTCAATCGGGTTCGTACGCCAATTAGTCGGCGATACTTCAGAAGAATTTGAACGCCGAGGAGTACGCATTTGAATTCTCAATTGATCTTGCGTATCCTTTTCTTCCATAAGGAACTTTGCAGCAATGATTACATCTTTTACGGACTTCTCAACTACATTAGCAGAAATTTGAACATGATCCATTATACTAGATTTGAGAGACGGATCGGTTGCGCTTTGTGCACAAATAACTAAACCAGCAATGTTATTATATAGAGCTTGTTTTGCAATTTTAAATTCATTTATAGAACCTTGACTAGTTTCATCTAAATCCTCTAAATTAATATCCTCAACCGTAGATAAAAATTGACCAACATGTGTAACAACCTGGCGTGTCTGTGTCACAAGTTGTGGCGCAAACCCAGCATTATTACCAGGTACAGAAGATTGAGGTATTTCAGTATGCTTTCTAATAAGATTATTTATTAACATAATAGCCTTTGAAATGGTACGAGAAAAATGTTCTAATGAAGCCAAAATGTCTGGAGTCAAGGAACGAGAAGGGCCGGATGAATCAGTACTATCCTGAGAGCTAATGCTTGATGATATAGAAGGAGCTGGGAACTTTTTACCATTAGGACCAAACGTAGCCAGATTATTACCTCGCCAAGAACCACCAGTAGCACTCTCAGTAATTTTAGGATCAATAGGTTTAATATCCACAGTATGTTCAGCAGCTTGCACGAATTGACGAACAGAGACCAAAACTTCATCAGCATCGTTCTTCATTTTTTGAGCAGCATCAGGCGGAGGCCAAACACTAGAAGCAACCTTTGTAGAAAGGACCAATTTTGAGAGAGAAGCCATTATATGTCTGTGATAAGTTTTTAAAGTCCTGTTTTGACGAATAATCGGGGACTCTTTCTCGACGGTACCAGAAGCGTAAAGCATGATACGAATACTTTCAACAATAGCGTTCGTACAATTTTGATATTCTTGTTTCAAATTTTCTCGCGCCGCCACAGTTAAATTATTAATGGCTGAATAAACAGTGGCAGATAACGAGTCCCAAGTGCATGGTTCATTATTCTGCATAATAAGAACAGACTGATCAGTATTCTTTTGAAGAGAAGGTAATGTTGCAGTAGTAATAGGAGGAAGAGGAGGAGGGGGAGGTAGAGGATCAGCTGGTGCTTCATCGCCAGATCCAACACCGGCACCAGAAGGCACAGCATCGTCATCAGTTTTAGACTAAAAAAAGATATTAATAATGAATTTTATCATAAAGATAAGAACTTAAGTAATTTAAAAAATAATATTTTACCATAAGACCATCTTCATTAATATTCTCAATACTCCAAGTAGTCTCTTGGGTAGTCTCATTAAAGTAATAGACTTTTCCTCTAGGAGAAATTTTTTTACCCCAACCAAGCGGAAGCTAAAAAAAAAAAAAAATTATAAATATGAAAATCATATAAACAAATGTAGAACATAAACGAAGAACGTATAACAAAAAACAAAAAGATGAATCGATCACAAACCTTTTCATCATTAGTTTTAATCTAAAAAGGACAGAATTAATAAATCTAATCATAAATTTAGAAATTAAGTAAATTAAATTCAATATTTTACCAGAAGACCATCTTCACCAATATTATCAAGACTCCAAGTAGTCTCCTCGGTCGTTTTATTATAATAATAAACTTTTCCTTGAGGTGTAGTTTTCTTACCCCAACCAGATGGAAGCTATATAAATAATCAAATGAGCATAATCGAATGAACATAAGATAGTACTAATATTTGCGCGAAATAATGCCGCGGAGCCTGATTTGGAAACAATTTAAAGAGAGCTAATAATTAATTTAACCGAATACAAATCATAACTTTAATTTTTAAAAAATTTTTGACCAAATTAATTATTAGTTCTCTTTAAATAATATACATCGAAATAACGACCATGGCATTTCACGAAGAATACGATAAAAGATGAAACGAATATATATACCTTTTCATTGGTAGGCTCTTGCTGTATTGGTTGAATGGTACCAGTAGTGCCGGTACTTAATCTACTATCCTTTGAACTAGTGATACTTTCCCTATCGGCATCTTCATCGATAACTTCCCTTTCTGCACCCTCTGAAGTAACACCAATCTCATCATCTTTATCATCAACAACATCAGAATTGCCAGAAGTGATTTCATCACCAGGGTAAGTCCATCTAATCTCTTGAGTTACCGTATTGAGGTAATAATATGTATTACCATCTTCAGTAGGTTGTTGTATCCAATTTTCCGGTAACGGCCTCTGTTTTAGAAAAGAACTAACAGTGCTAGAATGTGAAGAGACACCAGTTCCAGTATAATTACTGGAATCACGTGCTGTAGAATTATCGTCCATTTGCTTATCGTTATCGTCTATGGGTAATTCCCAGGATGATTCACCCGTTCGGGTGTTATAATAAAATATGACACCATCCGGAGTTTGTTGAGGAATCCAATCGGCTAACTAATAAGTGAGATAATGAAATAATTGGTCAGAACGACACGCTCTCATGAGACCATTGTCAATCGATAAGAATTAAAAAATTCATAAAATTCATAAAATCATAAAACTCATAAATTAATAAAATTATTAAGAAAATAAAATAAAATAAAAATAAAATTTAAAATAAAATGTAATAAAAATAATACATTGGAAATTTATTGATTTTTTTAATAATAATTGATCATAAAACGGGGTATCAAATTAAACTAAAAAGACAAATGAACCAATAGAAGAGACAGTCAAGACGACCATGACAATTTATAATAATTTATAGCCAATACCTTATCGTCATCCGATATATCATCCTCGTCATCTAAATTGGTAACATAATTACTAGGAAACCATCCACGTTCACCGTTGCATAGACCGTCCCACCAACCAGATTCTAGCTGCGTAAGAACTTGTATTATATCATTTTTTTTAAAGGAAAGGCTCGAGCTATCTGTAGAGTTAAAGTCATATAATGCTTTCACAAACAGGATCGATGACATTTTTTTTTTTTTTAATTTACAAATATAGACTTATTTTAGAAATAAACGGCAGCGAGATTACGGGAGGAGGGATAAGTTGCAGGCAACCAAAAAGATATAAATACTAAATGACTTTTTTAAAAATAAATTCGTAGCAAAAAAGGTAGACATGAAAAAAGATAGAGTAAGTTAAATTATTAAGATATTTGCAAAATGGAGGCTTTTAAGGGGGAAGGTATTACAATGTGGTTAAAGAAAGAAAAAAAAAAAAGAAAAAAGAAGGACTGACAAATTTGCTAAAGCAGTTTTTAGTTATATATTCACCAATTTTTATATAGCTGATAGTACATTTGCCTAAAAAAAGTCGTACAGAAGTTGGAAGTGACACGAAAAAGGTACGTACATACGTAGATATTTAAGTACATACGTATGTACGTACAGTACGTAGGTAGATATATTTTTTATGTATGCAAATCAAATATATATATTATATATATTATTTCCATAATAGATTTTCAAGTTGCAGCTTCTTTTCGAACGAATACCGGTACATAATAATCTAAGAGTATATAAGAGTATCTAACTATAATACTTACACTAACGTAACGTTAATACTTATACTAATATTTACATTAATATTTACAAACATTTACACGAATATTTACACAAGAAAAACAAGATGCACAACAACCATAAAACGAACAAGGAAAATCCACGTTATATATAAACACAGTACATGCAACCAACATTAAGAAATGATCTCAAAGATAATCCGAATGAAACGAAGACATATATTCATTCAAGCGCGAAAGCGAAAGAAGAGAAAAAAAAGTAAATCAATTCTGAAGTCGGGCCACACCGAAAGAAAGGGTTGGAGAGTTGATCCAATGCAGATCAAGATCTGAATCGATAACGTACATACGTGGGGTCAGTGCTTCATTAAACGAATTTACATTATCGTTTTTAATGGAATGATATGGACCAACCAGTAAATGATGAATATTGATAATATTTGATGACGAGAATAGTTACTACAGTCAACTCTCTTTAAACCGAACAGCAGGTTCTTATATGTAAAAATATTTAAAAGTTCAGTTTACAAAGAGTTATTATGTTGCTAATCCGAACTTAATAATAAATTTTACAAATGTTCTGAAGCTTTATGTTCAGTTTTCACAGAGTTTATTAAGTGTTCAGTTTATCCAGGTTCGGTTTAAAGAGAGTTGACTGTATAGTAAATGCTAATAATACATCAATTAGAAGAGCATGCCTGGACAAAGTTTTGTTTACGTAACTTAAGTGCAACTTGTGTGCTACATTTCGTTATATATTAATAATAGAGAAATAGAAAGATTTTCGAAGAACGTACTACAAACAAGGTTTAGATCAATTCGTGTTACCTAAGTGTGCATACATGCAGTTTGACGAACGGTCGAACTTACGTACGTAAGCTTACTTAAAAAATACACAAGCATTGACACTACTTTATATTATATGTTCGATGTCTTTTTTTTCTTTTTTTTTTTTTTTTTGAGAGGAAAACCCGCGAAACTTTAACTAGATCGGTTTGTTATCTTTTTATGGAACAGTGTCACCTAAGATCGAACTATGTTTAAATCCAATGAGGGAAATTGATTAAAATACGATTGGACGATTTTCATCCAATAGCGCCTGATTCAGTGATCGTTTCACATTTTAATATTAAGACTATCCCGAGATGACTATCCTGATGACTATCCCGAGATGACTAAGACTACTTTGGTTGTTAGTATGCATTTAGTCAGATTTTTCAAATTATCAAGGTTATTATTGTTTGAATTTTCGCTATATCGTTACTTCCGACTTATTATTGTTACCAATTTTTAGCAAGGTTTATTTGAAATAAATATTTATGATAAATTAATGAACTCAATCTTGTATTGTGCCAAATTTTGTCAAGTTATTGTAGAATATGGTTAAATGATTTTATTGTCTGACCGCGTGCAAAATCCTTCAAATCGCAAGTTCACATGACTACTCCCTTGGTGTCCTGCTTCAATTATAGTGCATAAGGCTCTACGGCCGAAACATTATATGTATTAAAACGTTTAATATACCAACCTAAATTTAGGATAATAGCTTCAAGGTTTATTTCTTATACGTACAGTACTATTCCTTACTATATATATAATTTTATTATTTCTTACTATATAAATGCTTTAACTATCTCTATTACTTCTTTCTATATGTTTTTTCTTTTTTTCCTTTTTTTTTTTTTTTTTTTTTTTACCATTCTTACTATTTTTTGATTTTAATTACTATACTATCAAACTTTTTTTCATTTCATAAAAACCACGAAAGGTTACTGTTAAATTATTATATATCCATATTTGGTCTAGTAATTAGCCGTTTTATCCGGGGCTAAGGATTTATTCCAGCACGATCCAGATCCCAATTAATTATACAATCCTTTGGATTGTCTATTAATAGAGGACAAGAAACCTTGTTATTGATCTAATTATTGATTTCGTGTGAATCATCAATCAGCCCAACACTTTTTTTATTATGACGAAATCGATAATACCGTGCTTCATCGAACTTCCTCTAAACATTGGTGCTTCAACTTATCTTTCGAATTTTTCATTAATTTCACCATTTAAGGCGTACATAAAAAGAGTTCTACATATAATATAATGCTTACATGATTATTTCATTGATTTAGTGAATAAATAAATTCATTGTCAAAATGTTAAAATTAAATTAACGCGATCCAGGGGATGCCGTACAAATATGTTACAAATTACTTTTAATTCTCACTGTTGGTTACTTTGTAACGTTTGATTACATTTATATTAATGTAAATTATTAATATTCGAATTTATTATTAATTTTATCATTAGCATTTATATTCAATGTTATTAATATGCTAGCACCAAATAATTACTTTATTATAAAAGTTTGAGTTTTATGTTTATAAATTTTGTCTAGTATATTAGATAGTCATTTATCTTCTTCAACGACCCTTACCTTTAACTAAATCTTCGATTTCGAGTCAATTTTATTAGGTTTTTATTTATATGGTACTTTTTTTATTTTTACGTACGTACGTACGTACAAGCAGTGTTTTATTTTTTTGGAATTATTTACCTTACGCAAAATTTGATAGTGTGTTAAATTTGCTGTTTTTGTTTACTGTTACTTCTTAAATTACAAATTTATATGTTTTCTTGTCAAGTTGTTACTATATACTGTATTTGTAATTGATTTTTGAGTTTAGCGAATGTTAAACACATTGATTTAATAATTCTCCTAATAAAAGCATGCGCTTTGCAAAATTGTGTGACCCCTATGATTATTAATTTTTTTTTTTTTATAAACTGATTGTGTTGCGATTGCGATTATGTTATAAAGCTGGCCAATTTATCATAAATCCGAGATTTGTGTTAGCTCAACATAAACTCAAGTTCATAATAAATTAGCCAGCTTTATAAGCATATCACAATCGTAATCACGATCACTATCATTTATAAAAAATTTGATAACCATAAGGTTTGCAAAGTGCAATAAATTTATTAGAATTAGCTAGTAACTGCAAAACTTTTCACCAATTTTAAAACCTATAATTAGACCAGCGGGTCTCTTGTATGGGTGTGGGCCTAATAATTGGAAGGTTTATTCTATTTTCACAGTATTTTTCCTATTTGTATACCCTGGATCTTCATATTGTAGATCCGGGTATAGTATATAGCAGGGATGGTAAAATTAGAGGTCATTTGCCTTGTTTTAAAATGACCTAGGTTATTTTAGACTAAAATTCATAATAAAATTGGGTCATTTAAAGTTATTCAAGGTCATTTGAAGGTCATTTACCATCCTTGGTATATAGTGGGTCTACTATCTAGAGGGATCTTGTATCCGGCCATTTATAGTAGTTGTTTTTTTTATTTTATTTTATTTTTTTTTTGGATTTTAAAAGGTGAGGCCTTGCTTATATCTTTATCAAGTAATTTATATAAGAAGTTATAAAGAATAAAACTAAATAACAACTCAATTTATATATAAATAAATAAATATAAACTATATGCAAAAATAAAAGCTTAAACTAATTATTTATCTGCAATTTAAACCTACTGGAGTGGTCAAAACTTATCTAGATTTGAATAGTTAAAATATAATTAGTGAAAATACTAAACTGAATCTACAAGATAGACTAGATATTAAATTTATAATTAGTAAGCTTAGCTGGTAGACAAGAGTTAAAATCAGAATGTAGTTGGTTTAGTAAATTATATAAACAGTTATATATAAATATATTGTAAGTTTTGGTATAATAACAAGTAAGAGGTTGTTGGTAAGGTTAGGTAGAAAAGAAATTTGAAGGTATTTGATATACTTTTTTCTAGGTAAAGAAGTTAATACAGTATGATTTTCAAATTTGCTTATAAAGTTGGTTGAAAATTTTAATAAAATTTTAGATAATTAACAATTAAGTATAATAAATTAAATAATACTATATACTGTATCAGATAAGCAAAAAAGAAATAAAATTTCTAAGAGTAAAGTAAAAGAAGTAAGAATAAAGTGTAAATTATAAATAAGGATAAATTTATTTTAGATTTAAAACCCAAAATTAAAATTTAAAAATGAAATTGTTTTGATTTACTTTTACTTAAAAGATGTAATTTTTTTGAATAGATGAAATTATAAGGAATATAATTATATAAATTAGATTTGCTCTTTTTTATAAAAAATTTTAATT